GCTTAGAAAATAATTGCCTTTTTGATGAATGAGAGAGTCATAACAAGAAAAAAAAAAACGAATTAATTTACATTCCTGACACGGTGCAGAGAAGTGCAAAGTGAAATTTGTTTGTAAAGGAAATATATGCTTCATATGGATGATCTACCAATAGGGGGAACGTTTAAATCGGACAAGTGAGGCCGTACAGCAACTTTTCGACGACGGTTGATTATTCATTCGTAAAGAGGTTACGCCATGAATTCAAGCACGATTGAAAAATTTGAAGTGAAACTCCAAGATGTCAACAAAGTGTTTTGTCCAGGCGATACCATCTACGGTCAAGTAAATTTAAAGGTAAAGGAGGATTTGAGAATCAAGGAAATGCGACTGGAATGTCGCGGCGAAGCGTATGTAAATTGGCCTGAATATTCTGGGAGTTACACCAGATACCACTATAACAGAGAGAGATACTTCAACGCGATAGAGGTTATTTTTGGAGAAGGTAAGCTGATTTACTTCCAACATTTTTGTGATTTGTCGTTCGGCGGTGGTCATATGATACTGGCTTGACCAAACTAAAATGCGGTCAGGTTAGACTGATTATCTTGGGAAACAGTCCTTCCAATTCTATCGGTGATTGCAAGATGGCTCCAGCTGTAACTGTGAAGCCAAGCGAGACTTAAAAGGTCATATCAATACTGTGTACAAAATTTTACTCCTCTTTGCGATCTGCAAACATTGTAAGAATATCCCATCAATCGCTCTGAAATTGTAATTATTTGGAGTGGTCAGTATTAGAGAAGCAGAATGAAACGTTCCTTAATTATCAGTATAAGATAGCATGACACAAGAAATTTAAAACGGGGGAAATATATCTAGGTAATTAACGAAAACACGTCCACAAGTCCATGGGGTACTAGCCTGAGTCTGTTATCAACTAAGACGGCAGTCATGAATATTTTATGACAAAACTCTTGGTTGAGGTTTTGTCGGAACTTCTGACGACGGAACTAAAGTGGAAATATTACCAGACAATACCAGTTCAAATCATTGTGAAGCGACCATTAAGCGTTGAACAGTAAGTTTTCCTTTTTTCTCTTAATTATTTGCCGATCCAGTGCGATGAATTCATCGTTGCACCAATTGACCACTATAGAAAATGCCATAAGATACCATAATGTTCTTTGTTTGTCACTCCAAAATTTTGCATAACCATTGTTTTCAGTTTCTCTTGGGGCCATTTTAACTCCCAAGAGAAACTGACGACAATGCTTATGCAAAATTTTGGGGTGACAAACAAAGAACATTATGGTATGTTATGGCATTTTCTGTAGTGGTCAATATTTCAGTTTGCCTCTAATAAGAAACATTGTTAATGAGGGTTTAGCCAAGATTGCCACAGAGCAGTTTACTAACAACGATTTCATAACAGCAATTGCTGTAAATTAATGGCAAGAAAGCAATATTTTTAATGTTGTTTTTAACTGCCGTTTCTTCGCCGCGATTTCAGTCAGACACAGTCATATTTTTAAGATTTATCACCAAATAACGCACTCGGTTTTCTTGGCATCGTCCGGAAAAATTAGAAAACAGATTTGGCTGTGTTTTGAAAAGGCAACCTGCGCTTCTGTGACACTTGAACCATTTGATGCGGTTGAAGAAAAGTTGTTTTCCCTGTTGGTGTCAGCGCTATTAACAAAACAATGTTGTTATCGTACGTCTTATACAACGAAATTTGGAAAACAGCTCGTCTCCAGCTGTTGGACCTCTGGGAAGATCTTAGCTTTACCCATAGACTGAAGTCATCCAAAATTCCTCTTTCCGACGCTTACTTCAACGGTACTTTTGAAACTGCCGCCACATACAATCATCATTATACTCATGACATAAAGCTGTTCGTGCACTGATGGCGTAGTAATGCAGATAATGTATAATGTATTAGCAAAACATACTTTGTGATATAGTTTGCTAACTCAAACGTGAGAGGCCTTCCAAATTTATCATGACCTTGATGAGTAGTAAACAAGGAAATAAGTTATCTTTGCCCTCTAACAGCCATGACAGCTACCATCAAGATCTCACAGGTCCAGAAACTCGTTTACCCCCACTTGAAGTTATCTTTCTTTTCGTAAGAATTTTAGCCAAGAAGCTTAAAAGGGAGATAACGCGACTGGCCCGCCGTTTCACGCTCCCGGCGTCGAGGGTATACACAGCTAGATCTGGAAGGGTATTTGACCGAAATTGAGGGCGGGATTGGGGAAAACGGACAATTTTTTGACCGGATAAGGGATTTGATCCTTACTTGGCAAGCGTTATTTGCCAAAATCGTGAAATGGGATGCGGAAAGGAAACGGCCTTCGGTATAGAAATGACAGAAGTCCTGAATGCGATGCAGATTATCGTGAAAAAAGTAGCGTGAAATGCGGAATCAAGCTCCCCTTCCAGACCCAGTTTACAAAGACCAACATCACCAATCCCGGCGATGTGGAAAGTGTCTCCAATTAGTTTTGTGTCACAGAGTAATCAGTTCTTGGAACTGTAAGTGGATTTGTCACTCTCATAACCGTGACGATAGTCTGGTTAGTTAATACTTATGGCGTTTCGCTGCGGAAAGAAAGCGCAAACAAAACAATGACAGCTGTTTTATCTGTTATGATAATGATGAGGAGGATTATTGTTTGTTTTTTTTTTCTTTTTTTATCAGAAAAAGAGAAAGAGAAAGGAGTAAAATCATCGGCTTGCATTTCTCAAGGATGTTATAGTTTTTCTTTTAAGTTCATTATCCCAGACAAGTATCTTCCCACATCGTTCGAAGGTCGCCACGGTAACATACGCTACTGGGTTCGCGCAGTGATCGATAGAGGTCTTGGTAAGAGTAACGTGAAGACGAAGCCAGCGCCTTTCATGATAGGTGATTACGTAGCTCTGGAGGACTTTGAAAATGTCACGGTAAGGGGAGTTCCTTCCTTTCGAAACATTTCCTGTATTCCTTCCTGTTGATATAAATGAAAGCTGCTCGGACAGCTATGGATGGATATTTTATATTTTCCCACGGATCTTATCTCTACCATTGTTTTTAAAACCGTTTATCTAGTTTTCACTTCGTTTTTTTGAGGCCCTGGTAAAGGTATGTTAAACCTGACCGAAAAATTTGGGTTCATGCTCCCAACCCATGAGAAATCAACAACCCAACAACTTGTGCGGCAATGGGGATGGAGATGAAGTACTCCAACAACAAGGAAGTGTCACTAAGCTAGTCACTAGTCCAGCCGGATGTAGCATGGTCATAATCCCTGAGAGAGGTCCCTACTCCTCTTAAGGACTGCAATCATAATACCAGGAAAGAGGTCCTTACTCCTCTCAAGGGGTCACAATCCACTGAAAGAGGTCCTTAGTCAGGAAGTCACAATCCTCCACTCCTCTCCAGCTCCGGGGTCGCAATCGCCCCGGAGAGGTCCTTGGTCTTTGGTCCTTGAGTTTAGAGTCATGGTTACCATGGAAACCATCCGTTTTGTGAGTCTGTGGGGCTAACAGTGACCTGTATGGGAGCACTTCATCCCAATCAAACTTAACTTCATGCATTACCTAGACATCCGTATACAATTTAAATTTTTCTCTTTAAACAGTACCCAAATTTTATGTAAAGTCCACATACATAAGAGTTTGTAAAATAACTAGATAGTACGCGCACTCTGATTGGCCGAGAGGAGTCTCGACAGTTATGCAAACCCCCGACCTCGGCTCGGGTTTGCATAACTGTCTCAAATTCTCCCAACCCCTCTCGTGTTTATATCAGGCTATGCAAACACGGAAAACGTTTTCTATTGCTTAAATATTGTAATATTTACGAGACTCACTTTGTTAATAGTTTCCATCAAGAGATATGTTACGTTACAGTTAGTGGCAGAGGCAATTTGAACTTATGCAGTCTATCTGCATCAAAGACATTGTATGAACTGATAAGCTTACTCTGTTTTAAGAACTTGGCAATACTTGACATGTGACATGAGAAAGTCATAGGAAGGAAGGGTGGGAACAACGTTTCAAAAATTCAGCTAACAGCCACAGGTGGATAAACTCCCTGAGATAAGGTTCATGCTCAGGGCATTTGAATTGCTTGACAGTAAGACAGAAAGCATGTAGTTCCTATTATCACCCAACCCAAACATGCGATCACTCATGGTTGTCCTATTAACTTAACTGTAGGCATAAATTGGTCTTTAAATAAAATGTACGTCTATAGCTGTCCGATCGACATTGTATATTTAATTCAAAGTTTAATTTTGTTTTGATTATCCTGAATTACATTAAGACCCGGCCTCTTTTCGCTGCTGTTTATCCAAGTTGTCCTGGTCGTGTTTTAAGTTTTGATCGGCCATCCCTGCAAAAATCGGCAAGAAATTATTATGATCAGTACTACCTGACAAACAAAAATTGTTTGATATCTTCTTTCTAATCTGTAGGATCATTGAATGTTTAAGTAAAGGCACTAAGTAATAAAATTGGGCACAGAATTAACCGAAAACAACAATATCAGATATGACGTAACCCCTAATTTGCATTCCAATCGAAATCCGAATCGCTGACCATTAGGACTTCAGCGAATCAAAACTGCGGTTTGGAGACCGTCTTGAAAGGTCATACATGCGTATAATTTATATAAAACAAAAATGGTTAGTACATAATGGGACGTGTAACAGAGACGTATAGAATTGTCATATCAGATTATGTCCGCACAAACAAAAAAAGGTTGTGGGGAAGAGGTTTTGTGTTGCTAACGCTTCTATTGTTTTCATCACGGACACTGATAATATTCAGTAAGTTACTGTTCTTCTTTCTTTCTAGGAAGCCCTCGTTGAAGAAGAAATAAAGAAAACAGGGATGTCTTGTTTTCGATCCGGGACTTTGGTCCTAAGGGCTGAGACTGATCGAGGAGGCTTCAAGCAAGGCGATGACATCCACGTATCTGTACTGGTAACAAATGAGACGCCATATAATGTAGCATGTATTGAAGTGTCCCTTGTTCAAAGATCCCTTTTTGTCGATATCGGAGGTAGGTTGGATTGGTCTACACATGGCACTACATTTTTCTCTATGTGAGCTACATCATAAGCCTAGCAAGACCGTGTACTCGAACCTGATAATCTATGTTAATAAGTGTTTTCCTTGTTCAGTCCGTATCTTGCTTTAATAGGCTTGGCCTCCCACTCAGGTGTTCGTATTCCTTCCTCCCAACAAACTCGAGGTAGATAGAATGCGCGGGTAATTGCTTTGATTTTCGCGACGAATTATCAACAAAGTAGCTTAATTGTCCTGTGATTAAATTTTAGTTCGTATTCTTAAAATGTCATTATAAATAGCTTTTGAAATTAAATGTTTTATGTACTTGTATGGTCATGCAAATAAAGCTTGTTGTTGTTGTTGTTGTTGTTGTAAGGCAATACATCTCACTGCCGCTCCACAAACTGTTAAGGTCGTTTGGGTTACTGAACACCCTGGAACTTGAGTCTGCAGACTAACGACTGTCTGTATTGTGCCACGAGGAATATGATGACTTCCTTTTTTTTTTTCTTGTTGATCTATCCATCAAAGCATTTTGTGTCAAGAGCTGTTCAGTTTAAGATGCGTTTTTTATATGTAACCGAGTGGCTATGATAAAACCAAGTCTTTCTGGAGTGAGGCACACCCACTACAGTAAAATGCTTTCATCACCAACAGCAAGTTTATAACGCGGCTGTAGAAACCCTAATGTTCATCACGTTTTAAACACTGTCTCTGTAACATGGTATCGGCACTAGTAATATTTTGATTTGTTATTTAATAGGTGGCAAGACATTTTCTGACCATACCATCTGCTATGTGAGGAAACAAGGAATATTAAAAGGTTGGGAGCAAGAATTTCCCAAGATATCATTGGCTATTCCCTCTACTACCTACCCAACGCTTATATCGTCCAAGTGCATAGCAGTCTTATATTTCATACAGGTAAGAAAATTAAGGAAGCTTTTGAACGTTCTCTAGCATTTAAGCTTCTATAGATATCAAAATTGACTGGAACTTCTCGTTTTGATTTAGCAACAGAGGATATCAGGACAAATAAGGAATCTTAGGGCCTTGGCCGAGATATGTCAATTTCACGAAAGTTATTTTTAGGGGTTTTAGAGGTTATAAAACGGAAACTAATTTCTGGGACATCCGCAAATTTTAATCGATTATTTGAAACGTCATCAGGTCCTCGCACGGCATGCCTCAAAGTAATTCATATATCTTATTGGACGGTTCAGTGTGTAGTATCGTAGGATATTTTTACGAGTCCCTCCCAAATCCTGTTAGTTTCGATTCGTCATTCATGATTGTCAAAAGAACCAGATAAAAACAAGGATTTCTGTATAGTTTTCACCATTTTTGTTATATCTATACCACATGTACACTGGCGTGAAAAACACTCCTTATTACACAGTACAAGCCTGGCTAATAACAGCGGAACCGTCCGATAAGCAAGATAAAATAACTAACATGACAGATTACCAGACCAGTAATCGTAAAACCCGACCTCTCACGAGGCTACAATTCTGACTTTGAGGAGACGAACCCAACTGGTTTGAGACTTGCCTGACAGTTTACAAGACAAGACTGACTAGCTACCTAAACGACGTTTTTAGTAAAAAAAAAAAAAAAACCTTTACTATAACGCGGACTTTGTTACACGAAACACGCACAGTAACACCGACTCCAACACTCAGACTACAATAGCTTTAACTGTGACCCTGTTACGACAGCGACTATAACGATGAGAGACACCTATATGGCACCTATTCTACAAATTTACAACATACGCGTTGCACACAAACTGATAACCACTTCATGACGGCTTCTCACTAATGCTAAAGGTAAAGAAAAACCGGAGGACCGATAGGGAGCAGTATAAGAGATCAAACGCTGCGACTCCCAGGCTACTTACATCAGTGAAACCGGCAGAAATTAAAGATTAGCACGCGACTGACCGAACACAAACGAGCGACGAGAAATGGTGACGTCAACAATCACATTACTACTAAACAACATTTACAGACGAAACATCAAATCGACTGGGACTCTGCGACATGTGTTACGTATTCTACAGACTATACTACCAACGACTCACTTTAGAAAGCTGGTTTATTACTAGCAAAACTAACTACGAGAGAATGACTGGACAACCGAACGACGGACGAACGGACGGATATCGAAACGCACCAATGAAATTACGAGTCTTCATAGCCAATAACATTAAGGCTTAACTGACAGACAACCTATGACACTGCGACTTAATTGACCAATCAGGTCAATAAACAGAGTTCAATATCATCAACTGACGTGATACAACTCCCTTTGACTCTGAAGATGACTACCGCACAGGTTGTCGAAACATCAGTCACTGTCAACAACAGCCCTACTCAGGACTACGTTCACATGGACGATAAAGCTCAACCTATTTATGATCATTTTCTTTCTTCCGGTTTCGCAGATAACAGCAAAGTTTAAAGGGAAGCTCACCAAGAACGGATACCTCGAGATGCCAGTTGTAATTGCTTCCTCTGATGACGAAACAGTAATTGAGGCTCAGAAAAACGCACAGACGAAGCCGGCATCCCTGCGGCCTTTGCGGCGGAGGGGAACTTTTTTCTGTGTAACGGCCCAAAACACCTTACTTTACAAGCAAGATAACTCCAACATGGACTTCAGCGATCAAGAAGAAGTGGATGATTTTATCGCCAGCCTTTTATCACGGACTAAACAAAACGGCTATAATTTTACGGCTAACTCGAATAATTCACTACCACGAAAACAAAACCATAGCTCTGCTATCGCATCACGACATGAACCTGAAAGACTGTTTGTCAATAATAACGGGCATTTCAAGCTTATAAGTGCAGTCTGAAACTTTAATCGTGAAAATGGTGGTAGAATTATCATACATCAAAACACGATTATAAAAATATATGTCGAACAGGCACAACTCTGGTTAAAGCTTTAGGAGATAAATATGAATTTTATGAATTAATTTTAAAATGCCGTCTGAGATGGACTACACTTGACATTGTAACGTTAGGCGAATTCCGCGGGTACCCTTTTACGTAACTATTGTGTGTAACTTGACGGATGGTACAAATTACCCTGTGACTACATTTGCGTGTCGGGCAACGCATCTCGTAAATCGGGTGATCCCTTGCGAGGCAAGGTTTACAAATTTGTCGAAATTTACTTTTTGTGTGGATCGCTGATCGGGAAGTGAACACTGCGTATTTGCTTACGTTGCTTAGTGGTAAGGAATTTTCCCAGTTCAAATCCTAGAGGATCCGTTTTTTAGTTTCTTTTTATCCTGTATTTTGACTTTAATTTTTCACGTTAATTTTAAGGTGCTGGTATAAAAAATGAAGTAATTTGTTGAATAAAATTTCGCAACAGCACTATTTCATTTTACTCATTTTTTCAAAAAAAAATCAGTCTTGTGTGTTTGTTTGTTTATTTTTGTTTTGTTTTATTTTGTTTGTTTTTTTTTTTTACATTTTACCACATTTCGTTAACTTCTTCATTGCGCGTTTTATCGCCGGGGTTGATCATTGATTTTCCTATTATCCCATCTTCAGTCGCACAATTCGTTGAAGCTTTACTCACAAAAGTGCGAGGGTACGAAAGCTCCTGCCAAAAACTTTGCGGGAGGTTCATCTATTCTAAATATGTCCATTTAGAATATTTATGTACTTTTTTATCATCAGTGGCCAGTTGTGTACGTAGAATTTCAAGAAGTTTCTGTACTATAAAATGGGTTTGAAGCAGCCAGGCATACTTTATACAGAACAACTTATTCTTAGTTGATTCATTTAACTGCCTGCGCGCCGAGAAATGGAGATTAACTAGCTTTAAACGATTACCTAGAGATTTCTCGTCGATTATTTGAATACCTTAATTAGATAAATACAGAACCTAGAGGTAACGCCGAAGGCGTACTTAGTAACTGACTGATGTTTATATAATGTTTATTAAACGTTTTTAACCCTCAAAAAATTTAGTTTGCTTACTTTGTTCAACTTAATTTCCGTGAGCGAGAGTGGAATATATTTTATGCGTAATAAAAATGTGATGTTATAGTTGACTTTGGTTTGATTGCAACCACAAAACCTAAGAAAATGTATTGTCTTTCTTACATAAACCATAGATTTGTACATATGATAAATCCTTGGCTCGCAGCAGATGTTAATATTAATTGAAAAAAAGGTTCTGTTGCAGTTGTGGTGTAGATTGCTGTCATATCACAAACTTTGTCGTTTTTGTTTGGAGAAAACAGCGGTCAGGACAGTTAAAAAAGGCCTTTAAAATAATGTGAGTGTTTGTATGTTGCTTCAGTTAATTCTTTGAATCCATTCTTTCTTTCTTTTCTTTTTTATTTTTTTAATTCTTCTTATTTTATTGTAATGCGCATGTGCCGCTCAGTGTGGACATGATAAAGTTGGTTTTTCATATAAACACGAGGCAGCACATAAGGTGTGTTTTTAAACTGACGCTGGATGAACAAAATCTCACTCCGAAAAAAAGCAAGAAGCAAAACACTCGTCAATTGTAGCTATAGTTATCCTTTCTTCCGTCCGCATTTTATCATTCGTGAAGGACTGATTGGGAATATACACTTGCATGCCTAGCGTTGGTGTTATTTTCCAGGGTCAAACGAATCTTTTTATGGCGGCTTACATGGCAAATCGAATTAACATTAAGCAATATAAACTGTATAACTATATTGATCTCGAAGCACGGCAGGATGGGTTGCCAAAAGTAGAGTTGGATTTCTAAAAGATAAAGAAACTTATCAATTCTTTGCGGTAGTGAACCCCGCTACAACTCGGTTGAGTAACATACAAAAATAGACCTGCTAGCATATTGGGTCTTCTCCCTGTCTTTGGAAAAAAATNCGAATTAACATTAAGCAATATAAACTGTATAACTATATTGATCTCGAAGCACGGCAGGATGGGTTGCCAAAAGTAGAGTTGGATTTCTAAAAGATAAAGAAACTTATCAATTCTTTGCGGTAGTGAACCCCTCTACAACTCGGTTGAGTAACATACAAAAATAGACCTGCTAGCATATTGGGTCTTCTCCCTGTCTTTGGAAAAAAATAAAGTCTGTTCGAAGCCACACATCAAAGATGGCTACCGGTGCGAGCACTGATTCAGTATAAGCCAAGAGCAAAGTAACTGAATGCCTTAATTTTAGCCTTCAAGCTGACGTTTCCAGTATAAACTGTCCGACGAAAGACGTTTGTCTAGGCGTTTCTTTTTCACGCAATTTAGAGGCTTCCGCAAGGGACAACTTTGAAAAAATGTTACTCGCTCTGTAAAAGTGTCTTAATGTCTGGGCTTCTAGAGATTTAACGCTCATTGGAAAAATAAGCATGAGTATCAAGTTTAGCTCTTTCAAAAATAACTTTCATTTATCCTGTTCTTCGCGTTCCCACTCGTTTTGTTGATCAAGTGGATGAATCTCTATGCGACTTTATTTGGAACCACCAACCACCCAAAATCAAGGGCTAGACAATGATTGGAAGGACGAAAGACGGCACACTTAGCATGCCTGATTTCGATATAATAGACAAATCGCTGAAAGCAGGGTGGGTGAAACGACTCTTAGATCCTCAATTGGAATCCTAGTCATTTAGACAGTGTGGGTGGCCGGTTGTTATTCAAATGTAATTTTTCGTCAACAAATTTATACCTGAGCTCTCTTTCCTGCTGCTTTTCTACCGAGGTGTTCTCAGTGCATCGGAGCCTGAGTATAACCAAGCATACCCCAAGGACTGTCACAAATTGTGTGTGATACAACCAGTTCTCTGTAGCTTTAATTCCTCACTCCATTGAAAGTATATTTCTTCACATGTTCATATTTTAGATTTCTGTACTATGTTCTACACTTAAGGGATTCATCGACATCAATTCGCGTAAAAAATCAATGATCTACACTCAATCTACACACTTGATCAGCACCACGACTCTGAACGACTACACAGTTCCTAGACTTTCCTGCAAAGTTCAGTTTTCAGATCACGTGACGAATTTTCCCGCCACAATGACGCAATTATTTTCTAACAAGGAGAAGGAAAGAAAGAAAATGAGATCCTGTGAATTAATCATGAGATCACTTTCGCGGTAAATCTGTTATTTATAAGCAATGATATAATGTTGGCGTAAAGACGTTGAACACCCTAGACAAGGAAAGAATCAAAGTTCTTGACATTTACAGAATTCAAGAAGAAGAACAAAATTAACACAAACTTCCTGTGCTATATTGGCTTGTGTAATGCCATCCCAAAGAATTGGAGGAAAGCTTTCCGCCGTGATCACGAATTGACTTAGTAGTTATAGAACATGAGTAAGTTCAGCCATTTAAGAACTTACCTCCTACTTGCCGGCAAGCACGCGCGTTTTATGTACATAATCTTTTCAAAAACCTACGTTAGAAGTTCGTCTTTTTGAGGCTGGATTCGAAATTCACAGATCAAACAATTGCGGCGTTATACGTTCTTACATTCTTCTATTCAAAGTCACGAAAAATATAAAGCTTTCTATTGTTCAATTTATTTAAATACACCATCATATCCTGTACACTAGCGACAAACTTTTCAAGGCCAAAATTACTGAGAGTGACTCTTGTCATGTGTGTGGATCGAAGCAGACCTTAGAGCATCTGTTTGTAGAGTGCCAGTATGTTCACTCCTGGAACCTTTTTGCCTCTTGGAGGAACGGCAGTAACTCGCCCATAGTGTCTTTGACCAACAACGACAAAATTTACGGATATCTCCCTTAGAGACGTTCCTTCCAAACGTTCAGTCTTTGCCTCCAGAGCCAAGGAAAGCAAACTGTATTAAGTTTCTTAGCCTTTAAAGCTTTTCTGAAAAACAAATTATCTGCAGTCCTTCAGGCGTTCGAGAATCCTTCAGCCTTTCGCTGCATACAATTTTGGCATTTTACTTTTGTTGGTGTTTTTAAGTTAGATTAGTATTGTAATATCATGTGTGTCTCCGTCCGTCTGTTAATATTGTATACTAAAAAGTTTTAAAAGTTCTAATTTAAAAAAAGTGACGGAAAAACTCCCTGCTAATCTTATCCAGGATTAACTAGGCTTTTAAACAATAATTTTTATCCTCGCTAGGCGCTTGGTTATAGTAAATTTAGTTTCGGGTGGCTAAGTACAAAATTTAGCTGGATTAAGATAGGTTTTCAAGTGAAAGAGGAGGTTTCATTAAGAACTGATGTAGAGATTATTGTCAACATCTTACTTTCATTTTCAAAAACTGTAACGGAAATCTGCAAGAGAGATCCAAAAGAGGTTCATTTCAGTTGGTGGTAAAGCATCTGGTGCTGCCTCCACCGGTGGGCACTACAAAAGATCCAGAAATCCGCAAAGCAGATAAATTCCAACTCCAAGCATCTACTCATGAAATCCCTAGGACTTTAAAGTCCTTCTCATCCAACAAGGATGTGGCTTTGATTTAAGATGCACTTCCTTACATTCTATCGTCAGTTTTTCCATCGGATTGGAAAATTTCTGAGGTCAACCTGTTATTTAAGGAAGGGGATCTTGAGATTGCAAACAATAGCCGCCTAGTAATGCTATGGCAAGAAGCTATTTGTTAGAAAGAAAGGATTAGTGCTGAGGCTTTGAGCCTGGGTGCTATTTCTCATGGTGTTCCACAGGGGTCTATCCCAGATCCAGCCCTATTTACCTACTACATTGACGACTTTCTCAATATGCTGGAATTTGGTTGTCTGGAATCTTACGTTGACGATTCAAGACTCTATCTGTCATTTTCTGTCAACAATGTATGCAGTGTGGTCCAACAGACTAATGATGGTTTATTGAAGATCGTGTCTTGGTGCTGCTACAATAGTCTCTTCATCAACTCAAACAAGAACATGTTGATGCTGCTGTACATATTGCATCTATAGTCCTCTGGCAAACATAATGAGTCTATCTTTTCTGCAAGGCGTTTATCTGTAAAAGCTTAAACAAAAGAAAGTTATTCCTCTTTATAAATGTGATGATGACAATAGGGCGATTTATACGAGGACGCGTCTTACATAAGACGAGTCTTAAATAAGACGCGAACTTTCCGTATAAACGGCACATTTCGTCTAAAATAAGACGCGACTTAGCTAAGACGCGTCTTATTTTAGAAACAGCCCTTAACACCTGTTCTTAGATAAGACGCGTATTAGCTAAGACGAGAAAAACTTCGTATAAATGACCTTCGCGTCTTACATAAGACGCGAACGCATGGTACGCATGCGTTAATTTTTGGCGGGAAAATTTTTGCGCCTTGTTGGTTGCCGTTGCTACGGGCAATATTCACATGAAAACGAGTCAAGAACAGAAATAAGACGCGAACCATTTATACGAGCTGTTC